TGATACACTGAACAAATGTACTGTTGTTGAATTCATACGATTTGGACATTGTTTCAAATATTCTATTTTCGAAGTATAAGCTCTCCTTGGCAATTCGAACCGTTAGAAGCCATAGTTCTAACCCTGGATTGAAAAACTGATTTCCTATACAAGCAAATCTAAATCTGGAAAATTGGTGTCACCCAAACTTCTTAGCTGTCCTTTTAGTCAGTCAATTATGCACCATGCGTGATACACGCTTAGGCGATCATGTATCTTTCGATACATGACTGACGAGGCAGATTTTTTCCCGCAGTATGTTGTCATTTCTTTCTGCGGTAGACCAGTTGCCATCCAAGGCTATAGAACCCAGTCTGTCCTACTATTTACCCATAACTGGGGGGAGAAGAAAAGAATTCATACCTTTCCCAAGGATATTAGCACGTAAGTGAATGTAATGGATTCGACTGGAATTCGAACTCGGTTCTCCGATTACTCAATCCGAGCCGCTACCCATTACTCCACCGTAATAAGAGTGTTGTTGCCTCGCCATGGATTAAGAGTGGGTATGCTCGTCTCGAAGACAATTGCTCCTACTGTGAACTGAAACCTTAATGATTACCCCACACTTGTGGCCTTGTGCCATAACAACCTAATCTTAGTAAATATCAATAGAAAAAGGAAGAAAACTGTGTCGGGGTAATATATATTCACTCAGTACTCATGCTCTGTTTCTCTGTAGAGTTGAACGAACGGTTATTGACGTGGAAGTGGAACCGGTGAGCATAGTTCAAATCCCCGGATCTGTTGCGTTCACTTTCGCACAAATACTCTTTGGAAAGGCATGCATCCATCTCTTCTTCCCCTCTACACTATTCATGGGTTAAATAACCGAGTAGACTCGGCTATCTAGTCTTGGGTGGCAGCCAGTCTAGGAAAACTACAATTCTGAATTCAAAACCATTATGATACAACTTATGGCAATTCACAGATAATAAAGAAAAAGAACCCCTGGAGAGCCATACGCCCTAAAGGGACATGGCACAAGAAACTGCTGTGTTGCATTGATGATGAGAATGTAGTATCTGTTCTAGATATACATATAAACGATTGGACGACTGTTTTTTAAAAAACGACCTGATTTTTTTTATTTTAAAATAAATTCTCAAAATATTTTTTTTAAGTTAGCGAAGCACTAGACTGGCGGTAAGGTTTCATCATTCTACAGTTGAAATTGCTAGATGAAACCGTAAGTTCTATGTTAATAGTTTCTTCTATCGCACATTTTGCTTGTGGAACTTTCTTCCGGCTTCTTGCTTCCCAGTCAATTTTGATCTTATGTAAATGCAATGTCCATCGTTATCAACTGTCTTCTTAATTCCTCTTCTTTTATTGTTCTCTCTGCTTAATAATGTTTTTCTCGTATTCTCTGACAGTAACTCTCTTGTGTCTTAGTAACTTTATTGTCTTGCTTTGGGTGAAATGATTTTAAAAAAAAGAAAGTATTTAAAATACAGCATTGTTTAAATTTAATAGCTAATGTCAAAATCTTTTCTTTCTTTCTTTTTTTTAATATTTAATAAAACTAAAACAGTTTAATTTAAATAAGATACATAAAATATTCTGATTCGGGAAAATTATTTATTTACTTATTTATTTAAATCAAACCCGGGCTGGGCTGCTCGTGAACCCAGGACTCGGGAATTTACAACTAGAGGAGGAGAGGGGTTTTAGTCAGTGTTAACGATATCATCATACATCACGCAACTGCTTGTCTTTTTTTACTTTCGCCCTAATCTTTCTAGTTTTCAAACTGCCAGTCTAGGCTAACTGAACACCTTTCTTTTAGTCAAGAAAAGAAATACACACACACATATGCATATCTACAAATACACAACTTACATGTACATATTTATATACGTAGCTCTTATGGTTGTTATTATTATTATTCCACAACGAACTGGTTTGCGAGAAAGAAGACACACAGCGACAACGGACAAGTAGCTACCACTGTACAGAGAGAGGAACTCTGTTTTCACCCATCCTGTTGTGTAGTAAACGTCTGTCTGTATTTTACGTCCATCAAACCTACTTACACTGACATCGCTGAATTGATTGACTGGATCAAAAGTATTTTTTAAAAATCACATGGAGATTTAAATATATATCATTTATCGACAAGGTGCATGCTATAGCTAAAACTTCAATCAAGGACCTGCATGCGGACGACGACGACGACAAGATCTGCACTCTGCACTGCAGTGTTCACCATTATTAATTAATAGGTAAGAAGAACCCCCCGGGGGTATAAAAAAAAATAATAAAGCAGACCTTGCTTGCTTTTTTTTCTCTCCTTTTTCTTTTAAATAAAAAAAAAAATACTGAAGTCAGTGATTTGATAATGTCGGCGATTCACTGGTTTTAAAGATGAATAAAGAGAAAAAAAAAGGCGACATTTTCCAATAAAAAAAGAAAGAAATCGTGTTTAGTTTAGTGCTTTGTATCTATCAATTCTTAAATAATAATGATCGCGGGTGGATATTTTTAGCGACTATTTCCTTTTTTTCCTGCAACGAAAATAATTATGAAAATGCAAGCTTCTCTGTTGAATTACATTAAACGCCTACTGGAAAAAAAAAATCTAATATTCATTCATTCATAATTTTCTTGCAAACATTTGATTTTTGTTATCGCGTGTGTAAAAATAAATATCCACGGTTATTATTTTGCATTTAATTTAAGTCAGTTTTCTTGTGAATTTTTATCTCCTTTCAGTTGAAAATTAATTTTTCTACCCCAATGAACCCATTACAACGCCACTATCCGAGCATTTTATTATATATACGTTTTTCTTCAAAGGTTATCTAATTTCTTTTTCACTATGTAATTGTCTCTCGTTCATTCATTCATCCATCCATATGGATTCATCAACCCAGGTGCGGGGTGCAAATCATGCGCATCCTTCAAGAATCATAAAAAAAAATCTGCGAGGCTGCAGTATTTAAGTACACATACTTTATCCTACCGAACATGCTTGTTGCTTTCGAGTACAATGTTTGTGACTATAATTTGCCAGCGCTCAGATTTTTGCATATCTCATATTAAAAGGATAAGACGTACGGCTGGAACATTTCTTCTACGGTAGATCAAATGTATCATAATTAAATAATATTTCTATTTCAAGATCTAAAGGTAACAAAAATAGCTATTTGAACCATTTAAAATCGTTATTTAAAAAAATATATAAACACTAACAAAGCTTCTTAGCGCATAAAAAATGGAAGTTATTTTCAGAGTGATAACAATGATGATATTTTAGGAAGCTTACTGTGTATATTGATAAATAAAAAAGATCTTCGTTTTGATAAATCAAGATAGATAAATATATTATAAAAGATTTATTGCTTTAGTTTTCGAAGCACGATTACAACAAGGAGATTTCAACTGTCCTAAAGAGAAGAGAAATAAGATGCCGAATAATAACACAACTGTCCATCCGTAATCTAAAAATAGGTCAATCACGTTTTCTTGGCCTGCTTGCTTGCTTGTCTCCTGCTGCTAAGTTGCTCTCTTTATATCTAAAACGTTAATAAATATTTTCTGTGCTGTATTTTCAGCTTTTGTGGGGTATTTTCTTTTCCTTCCACTCTTTAATTTCCTACCTGGAAAATATCGTCTTTCTTGTCTATCTTATGTAACACAAAACACAATTACCTTTCTTCTCGTGGGGTGGTTTAACCCTTGTTATATACTTTCGTAGAGAGCCTTGTCAAAGAAGTCGTTTCCTTCTCTGTTATTTGGATGCTTAGCCAAAATACTTTTTTTCCTTTTTTTGCAAATGATTTTCCCAGCAACAGATCACACACTATTGAAGAATGCAGTTTAAATTCATTTTTTGATGATTTTCATTTAATTTTTGTTTCTTTTCTTAACAAATATGTTGAAGATCTGTAAAATATCTAAGAAACAATTATTTTATTTCCAACCTTTTAAAAATTATTAAACATGATTCTCTTTCTTTTTAATTTTTTTATTGACCAAAACCAAACAAAAATATTGTTTTTAATACAGTATATATTTAATTAGCTTTTAGCTGTTTCAGATTTGAACTTTATGTTCATAATTATTTATAAAACAATTTGTTGCAACGAAACCATACCTTTGTCTTCTCAGTCTTAAATCGTTTTGCATGGAAAATGAATATTGGGTGGGGGGGTGTATTTTGAATTTTTATTTTACTTGTTATATTTTAATTTTTTTTTTTTCTGTTTTTGAGTAATAATGAAAAAAATTTTCATATGACTTTTAAAGAAAATCTGTTGCTTTTCCTTTCTTTTTTTTTTTTTTTAAATATTTGAATTAGCTTGTAATTTTAGGAAAACGAAAGCTTGCATAATGTATGGAATAAAAAAAAAACTTTTTATTGATAGAATGTTAATTTTGGTAGGGGGATCTTAGATAGGGATAGTTATTGCAACGATACCTCGGTGTTGTTTTATTTTAAAATACCTAATCTCTGGATAAATAAATGTGTAATAGTAATCCGATGTTGTATTTTTTTTTTTTTTTTTTACTAGTTATGATTTGAAAATGTTCTGAAGAAATATTGTCAGATGCATAGTTTAGAAATGAAATTGATTTCAGTTATTTATCATTCATTGTTTTGTTATTATTTGAGTAGAGGCTTCCATATAAATTGGTAATGATGGTAATCATTCTTCAATTAATCACTTAACTAAATTTAATATCAACAATCCTACAAATATTGATGGTTTAACTAAATAGCACTTTCTATCTCTCTCTTTCATACATACACACACGTGTATGATACGGTGTGTGTGTATGTGTGTGTGTTTTGTATGGTGTACACTGTACACAAAGGAACTGGTAGATTTATTCAAAAAATTATTTGGGGGAAAATATTTTTCATGATTAGACCACACCTGTGAAACTATTGTTATTTTGGCTTAAAGAGTAAAAATATTTAAAAGAAAGGCTTTGTATTTTAAAAATAAAAGATAATGGCTTTGGGTAAAAACATTTCTGGACTCTTCCAAAGGGCTGGCTATTTAACCCTAATCGCCCCCTTTTCTTATCTGTTGAATGGAATCGTCGCCTGCAATTTCTCTTCCTTTCTCAAATCGTGATTATACTTAAAAACACAGGCTTTCCTGTTCCTCGTTTCTCTCTCTCTCAGGGTATATATATATAATTCTTTCTTTTATATACAGACCGTCCATTTCTCCCGGTCTATCATCGTCTTTTCTGATATCCGTTAAATTTTTCCACCTTCTTTTCTTTCTAAATCAATTCTTCTCTCTCTTAGAATACTTGCCTTCATCTTTTCTGTTTACTTTCCTTTTTCAACCCCCTCTCTCTCTCTCTCTCTCTCTCTCTCTCTCTCTCTCTCTCTCTCACTGACCAACTCCTCTATCATTTTTATCTTTATCTCTCTTTCATTTCTTTCCCCATTTTCATTTTTTATAATCCCCCCGACCTTCTTCTATGTGCCGTGTCCCTTCAGGACGTGGGCGATCATGCCTCTCCCCAATTTCGTCTCTTTTGTAGCTCTTAGTAAGTAAATTTTGTCTTTTCGCAATTTCTCCTACCTTTTCTTTCTTTATCACTCTCTTTCCTGCCATTTGATTATCATCCAGTTTTTTTAGCACCCCTTCTCACAAACGTCATTTGCTCCTCTTCCTCTTTATCTCTTAAATAAAATTGCTTCTCTTTCTTGTCTCATCTTATATTTCCCTCATCAACTGGCTGTTCTTTCCCCCTTCATCTTTCTTTCTTTCTTTCTTTTATCCACTGGTTTATTTTGTTTCGTGTCTTCTTTCATCTCCATTAAGTTTCTTTTACTTTTTTTCTCTCATTGTCTCCAGTCCTTTCTTCTTCTTCTCCTCCTCCTCCTTGTTCTCCTCCTCCTTCGTCTTCCTTCTCTCGCTGCCTGTTTACTTTCTCTTCATCTTTTTTTCGTTTCTTTTTTTAAAAACTAAAACATCTTTTTAAGTAACACCCTCTTTCTATTTCTTACTGGTGATTTTTCCCCTTCATTTTTTATTTGCTCCTTTTTTTTTCTTTCGTTTTTTTCTTCTTTTTCCTCTTTGACCACAACACTATTCAATTGCATTTAACTTCTTTAGTTTACTTGTTATCTTTCAGGTTCATCTTCCCTCTTTTCATTCCCCTATTCTTATTCTATCTTCTTTTTAAAATTTTCCTTTTTTTCTTCTTCACTTCTGTTTTTAACTACTCCCTCCCTTATGCTGCTTCTCCTTTTCCCCTTCCTAGCACATATTTTCTACTCTCCCTCTTTTTGTTTTTACCTCTTCGTTTTCAATCAAACTTCCATTTCTCACTTTCTTTTTTGTTGCCAATTGGGTTTTAATTTCCTCCACATTCTCATGTGACTTATAGGCAAAAAGAAGCATCCCCTTGGTGTTGGCTTATTAGAGGTGACAAACGGACAGTTCTGTTTTCTGTTTAAGCTTTAACTCAATAATTGTCATCTTTTGGAGAATGAATTACCTTCTAAGGTGAGAGCCTTTTTTTCTAAATTTCATATATATATATATATATATATATATAATATATGCAGCTGAAGAACAATACAGGTTAGTCTGTGTTGATATGCCAAACTTCATGAATATGCAAATATTTTTTTACCTATTTGCCAAATCTCCAAGTGATATTGGAATTTACTTGGCTAAGCCATATCTTACTGACATTTTTTTTATTTTATGTAAAATAATTAACAGCAATTATTTCTTATGGTAGATGGTATGTTTGACATAAAATACAATAGCCTATTTCATGATCAAATTTAATTTTGTTACCTTTTTCTCCGGGTTCTAGTTTTTTGTTGTTTTTTTTGTTTTTTTCTCTGATTAAGTAAGATAAGTCAATTTGCCTCTTTTTAGACTGGAAAAAATCCAGTCTAAAAAGAGGCAAATTGACTTATCTTACTTAATCCATTGTATCCTGACTCTCATAGGGGTGTGTGCTTATCTTCAAAAACTTTAACTTGCAGATATTGAATGAAGGAAGAAAAAACAATTCTTTTTAGTTGATAGTTTGTTTGTTTTTTCAAGATAATAGTGAAGAAAAAAAAATAATATACCCACTAGTGGTGTAAGACAAGGATATATCTTCTCGCCAGACTTTTTCAACCTTTACAGTGAAATAATCCTGAGAGAATTAGAAATCCTACCAAGATTCATTATTGGCAGCCACAATCTTAATATAAGATATACAGATGACACAGTGTTGACAGCAGATATGGCAAAGAAGCTACAGGTACTTCTACAGAAATTAGTAAAAGAAAGCATGAAGAAAGGACTAACTACCAATTGCAAGAAGATAGAATGTATGGTTGTCAGCAAATGGAATAACCCAAGATGTGAATTACAAATTAGAGATGCCAAAATCAAGCAAGTAAAAAGATTTAAATATTTAAGAAGTTTTTTAACAGAGGATAGAAAATATGACCTCAAAATCAAAAGATGCATTGGATTAGAT